ATCTGAGTAAATCTCCGGAACAATATGAGAATGACACTGTAAATGTTAATGTGCTATCATTTGTCAGTAGTTACATTGATTCATGTAACTAAATATAATATCTCCAAATTAGTACTCAAGTCTGTCTTATTGCTTTTCCAGAGTTGTTCAATCATTTAAATACTGTTTATTCATTAATATTCAATGGATACTAATTTTCGTGGATTTCGTGGGTACAGGGAAACCACAAATTTAAATATTCAACGAATTGCAAATGTTCTCAAGGAATGTATGCAGACTTTGTCAAAACCACGAAATTCAATATCCACGAATATGCAAGTTTTCCTCATACCACGAAAATTGGTACCAACGAAAATAAATGAATCCACCGTACACCATATATATATTGTACCCCCCCCCCCCCCCCGTATTAACAGCAAATGCTGTGAGAGAATTTAGCCGATTTAATGACCCATATACTCCATTGAGGAGCATAAAATAGTTTAGATTTCTTCATGAGAATTTTACAATGAGAGCCAGATGGTCCAAGTGATAAAATTCTAGATCTGTAGTTTATGTTTCCAAAAGGAAAATGCCAATATGACTGAATAATTGACAATAATCTGATCTGACTAAAAACCAAGTTCAAATTTTGGTAAATTGATTTGGCCTGTTGTAATAATATCAAGGGTACCAATTTGACTACACCAGATGCACATTTTAAGAAAAAATGTCTCATTAGTGATGCTCGAGGCCAATGTATACTTACTCCAGCATTCAGTTTACGTTTAGTGCTTGGCTCTGTGGATGTAGCAGTTTTTATTTTTTGTGTCACTTGTATTGTCCTTGTGTGGAAGCTTGTGTTGGTCACATTGTCAGCCTTCTGTATCTTCTTTCCTACTTTAAACTTGACTTTCTGAAAATCTTTTTGAGAATTTCTCTTTTTCCTACTCTTTGGCATTGTTTAATGATCTGCAAATAGATAAGTACAAATATTTAGATCTTTTAACTGGTACTGTATATCTGTAGTTTAAGCTTTTATGAGCTTTATCGGGCTACTACAAATCATCTTCCCTTGAAATTTTGAATGAAATTTCATTTTTTTCTCTCACTTATTTAAGTAAGTCTAATATCTAATATTTTGCTGACATGATAAAGAAGTACTGTTGAATATATTTAGCAATATTTTTTTGTGTGAACACATACTGGTGAGTTCTGATAGCTTCTATGGGCCATTCAGATACCCTCAGAAACAAGATTCCCGGAACGTCTCGAGAAGGATTGGCTTCATCTTAAAAAAAATATATATATATACATATCATGCATATAGTATTTTGAAAATTTATTTATACAGAATAACAAATAAACCTACCACTAAGTTCTTCAAAAAATTTCCAAAAAAAAAAATGAAAAAACAATTTCCAAAATATCATTCATCATTTGTCATTAATACAATGTCTTTAAAAAATCTATGAAAATTACCTTTTACCTTTAATCATCTTTCCAAATATTTAATAATGGACAGTCAATTACAAACTATATTTATATATAATTTTTAAAGTTAGAATTTAATGCTATATCTATTTTTGACTATGAATGTACTAACAATTTCTATCAATTGTGCAAAACAACTCGAAATTTGGATTGTGATAAAATATTTAACATGGCATAGGTTTCTAACACTGAATGAATGTGGTCCAAGAACTTAAAAATTAGAAATTTGACATTTAACTATCATGGTCCAATATCCAAAATCTAAATACATGGTTAGATATAGCATACAAAGAACCTCAAAAATTAAATTTTTTGCTGAATTCAAACAAAATTTAGTTTTGAAGCCTTTGGACCTCAACATGGACCAATCTGATAACGAGACCCAAAATCCAAATCTAAATACATGGTTAGATTCAGCATATAAAAAACAGAACCCAACAAATTCATTTTTTGTTGAAATCAAACAAAGTTTAATTTTGGACCTTGATTTGAACCAACTTGAAAACTGGGCCCAAAGTCAAAAATCTAAATACATAAAATTGAGAATGGAAATGGGGAATGTGTCAAAGAGACAACAACCCGACCACAGAACAGACAACAGCAGAAGGCCACCAACAGGTCTTCAATGCAGCGAGAAATTCCCGCACCCGGAGGCGTCCTTCAGCTGGCCCCTAAACAAATATATATACTAGTTCAGTGATAATGAACGCCATACTAAACTCCAAATTGTACACAAGAAACTAAAATTAAAAATAATACAAGACTAACAAAGGCTAGAGGCTCCTGACTACATGTTTACATTCAGCATATCAAAGAACCCTTGAAATCAATTTTAGTTAAAATCAAACTAAGTTTAATTTTGGACCCTTTGGACCTCAATGTGGACCAATACAATACGGGTACAGTCTTGTTACTATGGATGCCTTAATTGGACAAGATGTCAGACTGGTCCCACTGTTGTCAGAGTGTGATTAACACCTGCTCATCTGTGATATTACCTGTGCAATACCTGCTGGAAGGACGTAAATCAATCTGTACCTGCTCAATTAAATTTAACTTTACAGGTACAGATATTTAAGTATTTATGGAGTATAGATACCTGTAAAATATTGTATTGTCTTAATGACAAGAATTACAATAAATAAATTGCTTGGCCCCTAATTCCTAAACTGTTAGAACAATAACCCCCAAAATCAATCCCAAACCTCCCTTTTGTGGTATGGAACCTTGTGGTGCAATATCATAGAGATCCATACACTTATACTCAAGTTATTGTCTGGAAACCAAACGTCTTCGGACGACAATGACAACAATGACAACAATGACAACAATGACGCTAACAACATCATAATATCATACGACCACAAAAAATTAGTTTTTTGGCATAGGTTGAATATATATATCTCAAATGTTTTCATACATTAAGGTTGTGGACACCAGGCTTAATTGTCTTCATCTCCTTCTTCTTCAGAGTTTCAGCTTAGCTTCATATCAATGAAGATTACGAACTGTTACATTTTGTATATATATATATAAAGAGTATGTGATCAAAAAATAATTTTTGTAGATTAACTTTGATTAAGTGATATAATCAAGGTAACAAGTGATTAAAACATTTTTTTTTCATTGATATTGTTTCATTTAATTTGCGTTGAGAACATTTGGTGTCAACTGATCCTGTAAGGATTCATCTGTTGGACATGCTACAACATCATATGATTTCTCCCAAATTTGTTGTATCTGATTACCAAATAAAAACATTGAATCCAGGTCTGTTTGCCCAAAATCACCTTCGCTCCCATTTCACATTCGCACCCCACACGTTTGCAACCTGGGTCTGTTCGCACCGTACATGTTCGCTCCCATTTTAAAGGTTATGTTTTGAATAATTTTTAAATCATGCTTTAGTTAGTGTATTGCTATAAAATCAAGAAAATAATTATTTTATTGTATAAAGTGACATTCTAAAAACATAAACAGGTTTTGTTTTGTGAATTATTTTGACGAAATGAATAATAAATATTGTCATTATGATCAAAGGCCAAGTCGTTTGTCTCTAAAACTTGTAAAAGATAGGTGGAAGATACCAAACGGCTATCAAACTAATCATCATTACATTGCTACAACAACATCGAATAAAACAAAAACCATGCTACAAAGCACGTTTATTAGGTGCATTTCCATGAGGGTCTCAATGGGGTTTACAGAGAGAATAGAGGACTCATACTACAGAAAAATGGGCCCAAAAAAAAAAAGAAAAGATAAATAGGCCAAAAAAATTCCATTTATAAAGAATAATGGGGTGTTAAAACATAAAGAATACAGAAATGAAGGACCCAACATCCAGACCCTCTACCATGATTGGCGTTGTTGTATATATCATACATGTCTAAACACACACGAGATCAAAGAGGCCAAGCTGTTAAAACAATTATCTTTCATATTTTCTATTTAAAATCTTCATTGTGTTTATTCCTTCCAAGCTAACTAGTTATAACAGCAATCATGATTTTCAAACATAACACCAATAAATACATTGTGTACCAATTAATAGCAATCATAATTAACATTTAATTATCAATCATTTAATTACCCAAAAAAAATATTTCATATAAAAAATTCGTTATTTATAAAAAAATTATTACTTTGAAAAAACATCTAATAATTCAACCTAAATTTGTATAAAAATAGGGTGCACACAAACCCAGGGGGCTAACGTGTAGGGTGTGAATGTGTCTTGGGAGCGAACGGACCCAATACCATAAACAATATTGAGTCTCAAACATTGGCTGATAAACAAAGAAAATAAATTATGCATCATTTTAAAATGAGTCCAACTGCTTATTCAACATAAGATTTTATAGCATTCAAAATGAGATCTAATTAGGGGAAGCTCATCTGAACAATAAGGCAGATTTTGTATCTGATAAGGAATCAGATACACAAATGAAGATTAACCATGTTAACAATAAATAAGCTGACTTTCAATCATTATCGTGTATGGCTTTTTTTTATTAAATAAAATTATAATTTAATCATGTTAAATTATACATGTAGATTGTAGTACAACTGTATATATTAATGTATAATAATTATAAAGTATAAAGAGGCGTTTTACAATCCAGGTAGGAAAATGAACAAAAAACAATTACATTCTTGTGAAATAGCGTTTCTCTGTAATTTAAACTGTTAAATATTTCCCGACCGTGTAAATTGTCTCTTACGTACTTCTTTTATTCACTTTTTGTTAGAGGCTTATCTACTTTTCTTCATCTCCACGTGGGTATGATAGGAAATGGAAATGTCAAAATAAATTGACAAAATTCAGAATCGGTAAAAAAACGAAAGACTTTTTAATGTTCTTGTTGAAGAATTCACTAAATTAAATAGGAAGAATATATAATAAGAAGATATAGGTTAATTATTTTATAATTAATATCATATATGTATTTTATTATTTAAAAAACAGAAAGATATTTGTACTCAAATTCGTTTTATAAATTAGAGCTACAGTTTTAACTTTAACCACATAAACAAATGTTGACGCGGCACTTCCACCAGTTGCTGTAGCCAAACTATCACCCTATAGATATTAAGTTTGTCAAAATTAGACGATCATTTCAAGCTACAGAGGTATATTTTTTTAAGAGTTACGGTTTGAGGGGGTCTTTTAGGTGTTCTGATGAATAGTCGGAAACGTTCTTAGAATGTCAGGCTCGCTAAAAAGCCTAAACTGCTAAAGTTTAAACTATGATTAAGACAGTATTGATTTATGTAAACACTTAACAGGACATTCTTGATCATAGGTACGGAAACCTGATCAGACAAGTCAACATCATCAATTAACGTCTTCCCAAGCAACCTGTTCAACAGATATACATGTACTAGCTATGTTTCTTACATCGAAACCTCCACATCAGCCCATAATCCATCAAAGATCATGCCTATTAAATATTCAACTTGCCAGAATATTCATCATGTTGAAGGTGGGCAGTATTTGAAAGAAGAAGAAAAAGAGCTACCTTTATTTGGATCATTCTATCTTATTACCAGGGGTGGATTCAGGAGGCATAGTGGATGTACCTCCCTTTTGATTGAAAAAATATGTAATTTTTTAGGGTAAAATTGTTTTTTTAGCCTCGGCCTGCTCGGCAGTATATATTACACTTTCCAGAATTATGACCCCTTTCAAAATCCTGGATCTGCCCTTCATTACATGTATGTATTTTTATGCCCCACAAGGGCTCTCTCTGACAGCCTCTGCAGTCTGCGACATTAAGCTGTAGCCGGAAGCCCCTGTCTAGTTAAAGTTACCTAGAACTAGTGACCATAGTCCGACCAGTCTAGTGCATATCAGTGTGCACTTTTTAAACCTTTACCGTAACTGCAGGCCATGTCACACCATCAATATCAATGAATAGGTTGACATGTCTTCTTGCGGACGTTACCTTGTGAACTAGCAGTAAAGAATCCAGCTCAGCGTGTTGGTCTAGTACAAAGCAGGGTTAATATTCATAATACATTAATATGTTCTCATCCTGAATATGCATATTAATTTGCCGCTGGACGTTAAGCATCCATCCATCATCATCATCGATATCAATAAACTGATATTCCCTTCCTTGTAACAATACCATAAACCAGTTTTGAAGGTCTTCCTAATTACCAATTGTCCAAAATAAAAATAAATGGCTCGAAAACGGTCAGTACCACATGTTTTCCAAATGTCAAATTTTGGTATTCATTAATTGATTTTTGTTGCATTGACCAATAAAAATAAATTCACAACAGAAAATTTAAAATTTTCGAACAATTTTGATATGAGCTTTCTTCTTTTCTTGGTCTGCAGCAGAAAGGATGATCTCTTAAACTGAAGTCAAATTTGAATGAGAAATTAATTTAAGCAAAATGTAGCAACGAAATTTATAAACATTTAATTTACATGTACCCCGCGCCGGTACATGTATGTCTTAAATTCAAAGAAGAGAGTGAAGGTTTTTATTGAAGGAAAGGAGAATTTTTCACCTGTCCTGGAGAAAAAAAACACATTTTTTATTATTTATATACACTTCCAGATTCAAAAATGTAATCTCAGAATGCAGGATTTTACAACTAATTTTCCAAAATTGTCATGGGAGGGCATACCACCAAACCTCCCTAGCAGGTTCGGATAACTTCATGATCCTCATAGGTGACACAGGTTCTTTTAGGTCTAGTACACATGACTTCGTGGTAGTTTTTTTTTTATTCCACTAGCCCTATGGACAAGTGCTTCAAAAATTTTTGGCACAGACTGTCTCTGAATTGGAAATAAAATATGTTTAAAAGTAATGATAAACCAACAAACAACAAAAACCCAATTTAAAACCATGGTGGTCACTGGTGTTTTAATAGATCTATCACCAAAGATTTCATCATAGATCTAAACAAACTGTGAGATAGTGGCTTAAATATACGTAGGATATAGGAACAAATAGTTTTGTAAATTGAAAGATTCAGATGCACAAAAGCATTAATAAACCAGCCAATAGAATAACTTTTGTACTTAGTTCAAATTTTTATTCACCAAAAATTGGTTCAATAGCTACAAATTAATACAAGGAGAGCACAATACAGATAAACAATATGATTAAAATTATTTGCAGAACAATAATATATTCAATCTAGACAATAAATATGTAATAAAAAAAACAAACAAAAAAAAAACAACAGCATATTAATACAGATAAAATTGAGAATGGAAATGGGGAACGTGTCAAAGAGACAACAACCCGACCATAGAACAGACAACAGTAGAAGGTCACCAACAGGTCTTCACTGCAGCGACAAATTCCCGCACCCGGAGGCGTCCTTCAGCCGGCCCCTAAACAAATATATATACTAGTTCAGTGATAATGAACGTACACATTATTTTGTAATAAAATTAGTATTATGTTGACATTAACTCAAGTCCACCTAACAAGTGTATTGTGACTATTTAATTAACTAAAGCACATGCATAGTTGGTGCCTTAAAGAGTCATTAGCTGTCAAATTCATGTTCACCAATTCGACTCAAAATCTCATACAAAAAAAAACATTGTTTTGTCACTCTAGCCACTGGTAATGCTGTAACCATATGCAGTAACAAACAGACAATAGTAAATCAATATGCACATAGCTTATCTTAATGGAATAAGAATAGTCACTTATATTGATGGATTTGTGAAGTTACCAATAAAGAAATTTTCCAAAGGGACATTTGTATGCATTCAAAATTGATCAGTATTCCTTTAAGACATAGTATCAATGTTTTTGATGTGTAATGTAGTGTCAGTTGCCCACATTAGGTGACTAATAGTAACATGTAAACCAGGTAAGCATTTAATGCTTCTTTGAACATTTTAATTTCATATTTATTTCTTGTTGCATTTATCCAGTGAAATCATAGAAGTTGCAGTTTAATATATCCTAAGTTATTGATGGAAGTTGTAGAAGTTTTTGTATGGGTGACTACTATATCTACATTTCTTGTACAGCTGATGGGAATGTAAGTATTATGGTACAATAGTTTACTTTTTATCATCTACTTTATTTTAACAGTTTGAGAATACTTCAATTGATTATTTAATGTATTTGCATATTGCTGATTATACACAAATGGAACAACATCTTCTAGTACATGCTATTATATTTATCAACCTCTGACACAATTTTAATAGGAGCTCCATAATGTTATATTCTGTACATGTATCCTCTCATTAGCTTGGTAACGGAGTCGCTTACTTGGCTGTTACTCTAGCTTATATTAAAAAAATTCTGTTATTCATCTATAAGTATATTTTCCTTTGCAGAGATATTTGTTTTAAGATATATAAGAAAGGTTCAACAGGGGATATTTCAGCATTTCCATTTATAGCTAACTTTACAGCGTGAGTATACTGTACATTTTCACTTAATATATATAGCAAACAATAAGAAATAACGAAATTGAACTTTTATATGAGGTTTGGCATCTTAAGATATTATGTTGTTCATAATACGAAGTACATTTAGCACTTAGTGTTTAAAGTTTTGCTTTCAAAAGTCCAGATCTAATCAACTACACATGGTTCGTCATTAACTTTTTTAACCATTTGAAGACAACCAATGATAAGATGTCTGACTTGGAACAGGCACATGAACATGTGGAGCTAAATTATTTTTTAGCACTATTCAACCCTCCTCCTTTTGTACTGTATAAGCATCAGAGCAAACATTTGATTTAAATAGCCCATAACACAGTTGAAGAATTTGTTGCTCTCTAAATTTCTTTGGGTTGCTGTTTCATTGGCATATACATGTATCCTACTTCTTCTTTTGTACATAACAAAAATGAGAATACATAAAATGCACAAGTTATGTATTATAGAATGCTCTTCGTTACTAGAACAAATTAAGTGGTAAAACAGAAATAATGCTGCCCAACACTCTAATTGAAGACTACACTTCAGGAAGTTGATATCATTCCGACAGCAAATTATGTGGGCTATATGAAGAACAGCTACTTCTTTTTGGATAAATTAGTTATTTCTGAGTATTTAAAGCAACTTTTGAATATCCACGATTTGTGTGATCCTTCTATTAAATAAAAATGAAGTTAAACAACTCTGTTTGTACATATTTTGACTTTGCATTCAATTTTGGCTTACAAATTTCAACCACAACAATCAGGAAGAGGTGATAATGCTTATAATGTTATGAACAAGTTTACCTAAAAACATTACCACTAATTCTTATGTATGTTTACACAAAAATTAAAGATATCATTAAGGCATGGAGACAAATTTGTTCAACTGATAAAAATTTATGAAGCATGGTAAATTTTGTTTTTCTATTGTAGTGCCAGTTTATGGTTACGATATGGAATTCTTCAAAGTCTAGGGATGCTGATTTTGACTAACACTTTTGGTGTTCTTCTTAACTTTGTTTACTTGATGTTATTTTATTATTTCACATCTAAAAAGGTAAATATTATTGATTTTCATATCCTGTATAAAAAGATATTTATATTTGTTTAATTGGTACATGTAATTCATCAATCAAATTTAATTATGTTTGGTTTTAGTCACTTTTTGACATGAGAACTTCATTGACGCTGTACTTTAATTTTGTTTTCTGCAAATACAAATAATGAACTAATTATTTTATATAGTCGTAAGATTAACAGCTACGGATCAAATTTAAGTTTGTCTTGATTGAATAACCTTTTTCGTGACTCTGTTGAAGTCAGCTAATTATGTGAGTAATAATTTCTGTCTGTGCATGCATCATGGCATCTACATTTTAGTTTTTGGACATTAATATAATTTGAGTAATACACTAATATACCTTCACAGGTTGTCAATGTCTTTTGAGGACAAATAAATTCATAAATCTGGTTTTAGTTGTTTGGTCAACAATTTAGGTCACTGCAGCTCTATATGACTGAAATATTTGGAAAAATTAATATACACAAGTATATATACCTTCATGATATTATTGTTTGTCAAAGGGAATACAATTTCGGCACAGACATAAACTATTTGTGTAAAGCTTTATATTTCTATAGAAGACTTGCGTTTTAGTCTGTTTCTCAGATACTTTTAGCAATATATATTTGATGTATCGAATGATTGCAAGGTGTGCATATCTGTCTGGCAGAGTTCATCTCACCTCATTTTCATGGTTCATTGGTCAATGTTATGTTTTCAAGGTTAAGTCTCTTTCTAACATACTGTAAGCAATATGTTAACTATATGCAGTGTAAGGAATGTTTGCAAGGTATACATGTCTGTCAGGCAGGGTTCAAATGGCCTAGACCTCATTTACATTTAACATTGACAATGTTAATTGAATGTAATACTTGTTGTACATGTTTAACCCTTTTCTCCAAAACTTTCAATATAAATTCAATCATGTTCAGTAATGCACATTTTAGTGTATGCACTCTTGCGTTATTCATTCATGCAGTTTTCACTAAGCATGGAGAGATTGTATTCCTTGAGAAAAGGGAAAGATTCCACGATTCGAGATTTCTATATCAACAGTCAATTGACCTATTAAAAATTGCTAAAGACATTGGTTTTCAGGCTAGATATTTTTAATTTATATATACATACTTTTCTTAACTGTTTGGAATAAATTCTTTTACCTGTGATTATTTTAAGATCACATGGTCAAACAATCAAGTTGGGATCATCTATGTAACTTGTATGATCTTTAACTCAACATGTTTTTTTTAAGCTTCATGGCATTTGTCATGTGTGTGTATTTCTGTTAGGAAATGTGTCTTATACAATTTCAACTTTCCTTTTTATGCTGCTTATACAGCCTGATGGTCATATTTGGAAAACAAAATTGGAGGGGTAGGGGGGCTGTTTGTTTTATTTTATTTACCTCAACATTTTAAAGAACAGAATATTTTTTTACCTACTAATCAGACTTTTTTAAATAATGATTTTTATAATGTTCTGGTGGCAGGTTTGTCAATGCTAGTCCAGTGGTTTTTTTTTGTTATTTGGTGGCATCATGTAACTGTTCAAAGTAGATGACATTGGCCATAAAAAGTTGAATTTCTTTCTTATAATAATAACATTAATTTAATTTTTTTTCCATTTATATCACTTTATTTTATTTACTTACTTTTTTTATATTTTTTTTATGTACATATAAAACTTTCTCATATTATTTTTCTTTATTCACAAACACATATTTAGGCCTATTTGGGTTTATACAACACATTTGACAACTGAATTCACATACACAATTTGGCATATCAAATTTGTCAACTCTTTACCCTGCTGCTGGTGTAGACAATATTTGTGTTGCTTTGTCGTTTGTTTGGCTTTTTCTCCTGTTCTGGCTTTTGGTGGCATATATATTTTTTTTTCTTTTTTAAATTTTTCATTTTCTCTTTTTTATTTATTTAAGTTTTATTTATTTTCATTTTTTATTATTTAATCTACCAATTATTATTTATCAATTTATTTATTCATTTATTTTTTATCAAATTATTGTGCATTTTACTTTTTACTCTTGTTTTTACAATATCTATGTTATGTTTTTGTCTCTCAAGATTATATTAATTACCATAAGGTAAAAATGAATTATTTGAATGCCCAAAAACTTGTAAGCCAGGGCCGACCATGCGAGACCCTCTTAGTCAGCAGTATGAATGTGCAGAATATATAATCAACAAATACATATACCTGATGTTGCCTCATTTAAACAATACGTTATGTGTCCCAGATGTGTAAATAATATTAATTTTTTTAACCATCAATGTGCTTTTCTTTAATTTCAATCACATTCATATATTTTTAAAAGCTATAGTTTTTAAATAAATTTGTAAAAAACAAACATGCTGTTGTAGTTGATAAATAGTATAAGTCAATGTTTTGCTGAATGATAATTGGTTTGATCCGATTTAATTTAACAAGGTTTAATAGATTATAGACACATTATAAAACATGATCCCCATTATCATATCAAATAACCTTTACTGAATAAAGAAAAGTTGCAGGGGGATCTACATTGTCATCTTTTAAATTTTGTTAAGGAGTGTCATTTTTCAACAAAATGTGCACCTGCTATTATGGAATCGTTTTAAATGGTATGGTGATGTCTGTTGCTGTAGTCAAAAAACATTTGGTTTCCAGACAATAACTTGTGTATTAGTGTATGGATCTCTATGAAATTGTAATTTGAGGTTCCATACCTCAAAAGGAAGGTTGGGATTGATTTTTGGGGTTATGGCCTGAACCATTTAGGAATTAAGGGCCAATATACAGGGGTTTTCTGGTCTGGACAATGACTTGAGTATAAGTCTGTGGATCTCTATGAAATTGTACCACAAGGTTCCATACCATAAAAGGAAGGTTGGGATTGATTTTGGGGGTTATGGCCTTATCCGTTTGGGAATTAGGGGCCAATAACAATTGTTTGGGTTTAGTTGGTTAGTACCTCTCTTTGTGTAAATAGAAAGAAGTGTTTATATTCAAACTCTGTTTACTATACTGACTAGAAACATTATGCATACAATATAGCTTAATAATGATATGACGTTACAATATGTTCCTCAAGATAAGTTACAGTCTTTGAATAAAATTGAAAATTTCAAACATTAACAAGGAATAATAATCACTTTAAAGTCCATACATCTATCTACCTCTTCTATCTTGTGTTGTACCAATACATTCAACATGGTAGTTGATAATGTTGATCCTCCTGTTATTGGCATTGGTCCAGACAATAAATATCCCAGTTTTGACTTTACTGCAGTGATTTTTTCCTCGTATTATCTGGTTTTTGACAATGTCCCAGTAGTAATCTGCTCCAGTCAGCATAGATATTTCAAAATGTTCTTCCTCACTCACAGGATGGGCCAATTCTATACCATTGTAGATATGGCAACGATGATGCTTCGTAATGGATACAATTTGATAGCGGTGCTGCGATTGTTGGTACTATTAGAACTTCCATTGATATTTTACCTCCATATAGAGTCTCCAAATTGACAATGGCTTTTTCGATGCTCCTTACATTATGATTAGTATCTTCTATGGCAGCTAGACTGAGTGTAGTGACTCCACAGGGTTTTAGCTGTAACCTTTTTGCTAGATCCACTGTAATAAAAGATTTTTGGGACCCTTCGTCTAAAAGAATATTTGTTACAATGATATTATAACACGACTGAAACTGGTGATACAGCTGTCTTCAAGAGTACGTCGATTCTCTGTTTTACCGGATATTCATAGGAAGTGTTAACTGTAGCTGTGTAATTAGGACAAGTAGTGACCAAAAGTTATCCTGAGATTGTCCTAGTGACTTTAATCCCTGTATACTGGTTTCCAATTTGTCGTAAAAATGTCTTAAGGTTGGTTGGTGAGAGTGACAGATTTGGGAATTCCAATAAGTTTTGCATTTATGCGTTGATAATGTGTTATTTTTGTCCAAATGCTTCATTAATAGATGAATTGCTTGTTCATAGTTAACGCTAGTAACAGCTAGTCCTGAAATACATTTCTCGGTTTCCTGAACAATTTGAGATTTTAAGTAGCAGTCCAGCTAAGAATCATGCAAGGGGTGATACATCCATAGTGTAGGATACTTATCTGCTATAGTTAAATTGATTCCACTTGAAGCAGAATTTATATAAATGGCAATTAGCACACAAAAATTCAAGCTGTTGCTATGGAAACAGCTCTACCTAGCAACAAGGTGTTAAATGGCCATAAAAAGCTTAAATTTGTAAATTTTTTGTAATCAAAATGATACAATTATGATGAACTGTTTAGAAAATATATACTACTGGTAGGTCTTACAATCTATAATGCTCACCTTAAATAGGAAACATTTGAAAAAATGTATGCAAGCAAGGAAACTTGGTTACCATGGCAACCAAATTATCAAATATTTTCATGTTGGAAAAATGTCAAATATTGGAAGTTTTCAAACTTTATTATCTCCCTAGACAAGGGGGATAGAATTAATTTCTTTGACCATACTATTGCAGTTGACTCTTGTCTAAAATATATCAAAAATAAAAATATGTAGCCTAGTACAGAATTTTCAAAAAAGTGTTGATCATATCTTAACGCTTTTTTACAATATTTATGATCTTTTATCTCTTTTGACGTAAACTATAAGAGTATCATTAGTTAGTGTTTCTGTATTGCAGATAATTCATTATAGCAACATTTATTTAATACTTTGTATAAATTGCTTATTTCTTGACCAATTCCAATGGGGTTTAATTCAAAGTCTTGAATTCTTGGGGGTTCTTTAATATGCTGAACCTAACTGTGCATATTGGATTTTGGGCACACTTTTCAAATTGGTCCACATTAAGGTCCAAAAGGTCCAAAATTTAACTTAGTTTGAATTTAACAAAAATTGAATTCTTCGGGTTCTATGATATGCTGAATCTAAACATGTATTTAGATTTTGATTTTGGGCTCAATTTTCAAGTTGGTCCAAATCGGGGTCCAAAATTAAACTTTGTTTGATTTCAACAAAAATTGAATTTGTGGGGTTCTTTGATATGCTGAATCCAACTGTTCATTGAGATTTTGGATTTTAGACCCATTACGAAATGGGTCCAAAATTAAAGTTTGTTTGATTTCATCAAAAATTGAATTCTTGGGGTTCTATGATATGCTGAATCTAACCATGTATTTGGATTTTGAACCATATAAGGTAAATGTCCAATTTAAAATTTTTAAGTTCTAAGTTTAGTGTTATAAAAATATTACTCAAGTTGAAAGGTCAGATATTAATTGAAGTATATGAAAACATTTGAAATGATGATAGTATTTTATCAATTTCATTCTTTTGGAAGCTCTTCAGTTCTATGTTTTTATTAAAAGGTCATTTTCAGCATTCATTTATTTATAACAAAGAATGAACATGAAGATAGGGTAAGGAACTTTGGGAAGTTTTATCATAAATTGGAATCTGCTTACTGTTATGAATCAATTGTTATATATCATATGCATAGGATTAAAGTTTGATGTTCCCAGCCTATACATAAATTTTATATGCATGTTTAAAACCAATGTATGTTGTGTGTAAGTGTATGGATCTTTAAGAAATTGTACTACAAGGTTCCATATCACAAAGGGAAAGCTGGTTTTGAGATTGGGTAATTGCCTTAAACGTTTAGGAATAAGGGGCCAAAAATAAGCATTTTTACAGTTTCCAGACAATAACTTGTGTTCAAGTGTATGGATCTCTCTGAAATTGTACTGCAAGATACCATACCAAAAAGGAAAGGCTGGGATTGAGTTTGGGGTAGATGAATCATAAGGGGGTTCAAAAAATTGGGGGAGGGATTTTTATGCCCTCGCCGTAGCGGTGGGGGCATTAAGTTTTACCCTTGTCCGTCTGTACGTACAAACGTACGTCCTCCCGTACGTCTCAAAATTGGTTTCCGTTCTCTAATTTGAGTTTGCCTCAACCAGATGTTATGAAACTTATACACAATGCTTATTACCACAAAACACAGATCAAGTTTGAATTTTGGTGGCGTCACTATAACTGTTCTAGAGTTATGCCCCTTTATAAATGGAAAAATTGCTAAATTTTTAGTTTCCATTCTCTAACTTAAGTTTGCCTCAACCAAATGTTATGAAACTTATACACAATGCTTATTAACACAAAATACAGATCAAGTTTGAATTTTGGTTGTGTCACTTTTACTGTTCTAGAGTTATGCTCCTTTGTAAATGGAAAAATTGCAAAATTTTTATTTTCTTCTAAATATCAAGTAATTTTTAAAATTGGAGTTATCTTCCTTTGTCCATGATTATAGTTGAATCAACTACAATCAATGCTTTATACAATGCAATGTTTAATTTTGACTTCCACTGATAAAACACAGATCAAGTTGAATTTGGGTAGTGTCACTTTAAACATTATTGAGTTATGTCCCTTTATAAATCGAAAGATTGCAAAATTTTTAGTTTCCATTCTGTAACTTAATTTTGCCCCAACCAAACATAATGACACCTATACACAATATTCATTACCACAAAACTAACATTGACCAAACTTTCTTTGTCATTCAATTATTACTTTGTAATTACACTTAACCTATCCAAGCTGACTGCTGACTGGAAGTAAATGTGACTTGATTGTCTTGCTGGGGAGTTATTAATGGCAGGTCTGCCAAAATGTCTGTTTTTTTTTTCAGATTTCTGACAAAACAGTGACATATTCTTTACAGACCAGATCTTTTTTTGGCCATATAATACCTCCTTGTGTTCTTAACTACATTTGCATGCTTTTAGGATAATATTTAATATCTACAGTGGATACCATTAAAGTGGCCATCAAATGACTCCCACCCCACATGATTTTCTCTACTTTTCCTATTTTTAACTCCAAGAAGGGCATTAAGGTTGTCATATTTTCATAACAACACATCCGGAAAGAGTTTATGGACCATGTGTTGCAAGATTGAACTGCTGTCAACACTATTCAGCTGGGGCAGTTCTAAAAAAGTATGGAGGGTCATATTGGCTTTGAAAGAATGGTTGTTGTAATCACGACTACAAGAGGGATAAGGGGCGAAGGGGTTGAATGGAAATATGCTAAACAAAGGGGTAAGTCCTGTAAGGGCTGATTTTGGCCTCAAATTTCAGGTTCATCTGACGAAAGATTTTGGACACTTTTTAAACACTAAAGTGTCTATTTCAGTTGATTCAATTAGTTTATGTGAAAGATTTTAAATGATTTAGTCATTAAAACCGCTCCGATTCAAGCTTAAATATGAAAAATCTATCAAATATGCCAAAAAATGTCACTTTTCAGATGATTTTTGTCAATAATGAAAGTGGCCGCATCCGTGTTTATCCTCAACCTTTATCTATGTTATGTATTATCATCAAATACAACTTACATTTCAATATTAAGAATGAACACAAATGCGGCCACTTTCATTTAAGACGGAAACCGTCTAAAATTTAACTAAAATGCTAAAATTGTGAAGATTTCAGTAATTTAGCATGACTTAATGATGCTAGTACCTGATATATGTGCATTGTATTGTAAAAAAACAGCCCATATTTATGTAGCAGAAGCATTCTTCTTTCCAATAAATAACTAAAAGTTTACATTTTAACGATTTTGTAAAACTGCTATATTTTGAGGCCAAAAAGGGGTCTTACTGGACCTACTCCTTTAGCTGGTTGAGTTCATATTTCAATCTAGGAGCACTTTAAGTTTATCATTTTCTATACAAAGTTTTAATGGTAATCAATAGTAAAATCTTATCTTTTTAAATAAAAATATTTACCTTTACCCTACAGATATCATACAACAATGTATATGAGATTCATCTATATTACAATCACATCAGCATAAAACATTCTTTTAAAAAACACACAAAAGCTATTCCATAGAAGTGTTTATTTTCTATTTTTTTCTAATTTCAGATTCATTTTATTAGGACAATATTTATAAATATGACATTCATATTTTCTGTCCTGTATTATGTAAAGTATCAACAAATAGAGCTTAAATTAGCAGCCAGCCATCTGGGAAAAGTGTGTGCCTTATTATCTATATTAGCATATGGAGCACCATTAGCATCTTTAGTAAGTACAAAATTAATAAATTATAAGAACAAAAGGAGATTATGTCTGATCATTTTAAACTCCTGTAAAAATTGCTGGGGACCATACAGTTGTTGATTTGTCTGTCCATTAAGAAACAAATGTTTTCTGAACAGTCTTCCATGTATTCAGATTTTGAATTTTGGGCCCTGTTATTTAGTTGGTCTACATTGAGGTCCAAAGGACCAAAAATTAAACTTTGTTTGATTTCATCCAAAATTGAATTCTTAGGGTTCTTTTTTATGCTGAATCTAACCATGTATTTAGATTTTGGATATTGAACCATAATAGGTAAATCTCTTTGAAATTGATTAAAGAACAGTCAATTGATTTGTTTTTACAACGATAAGACTTCCTAATTGATATTAAATAAGAGTGTGATAATCCGGATTAAACGATTCAATGAGTATCAACAAACAATGAATACAATAAACAAAGATGATATTTATTTCAGCACTAATTTATCAACATAGATATTACAATTATTTTATTATTCAGAATATTTGTAATGGTTCTGTATTCCGTACAAGATTCACAGACTGCGATTTGCATTTAAACAACTTCCTGTTGCTCTCAATCAAACACATCCAACTTCCTGTTGTTCTCAATCAAACACATCCATGGAAACGTCCTTTGCTAACTTTATTATTCTGCAACAATATTTTCATTATCCTGTAATCAACCAGGACTGGAGTTTAATTTGTCTCTGAAAAAAATCACTTTTCAATGGACGCATTTTACCAAGTTTCAAGTTGGGATTTTCCCAGAAAGTCCCTGCGTGTGAAGTTAAATGCTTTGCAATTTTATTTAGATAGACCTGTAAACTATATAAACAAACCATACATTTGTAAATATCGTATATCAGCTCATAATTTAAGCATAGAAACAGGCAGATATTATAATGTTAATAAAAATAATAGACAATGTACAAATTGTAACACTACCTCTATTGAAGATGAATACCATTTTATACTTGAATGTCAAAAATAAAGTCAAATCCAAGAAAAGTATATTAAAAAGTATTATCATATACTTGTAGAAAATAATGGTATAATTTTACCCCTTGATAAAACTAATTTATACATATATTTATTCAATAAATTTGAGGAATTGTCTTAGCCGTGTGATATGACTTTTGTTATCAACTGCTTCTGGTATATATCAACTGTTTCCGGTTTATATCAACTGCTTCCGGTTATTATCGCATGCCTTTCTTTAAAGTAATCGCAAAGCATTTCGACGTCATTCTGCAAATTCCAGAAAATAAACCTCAATGGTACATTTAAGTGAAAAACATAGCTAAGTAGAATAACAGAAGGAATATTAGGAAACAGGAAAATATATTATTAAAAAACGCTAAACAAATAATACAATAAATGAATTTTATAAAGTTTTAAAAAAGTTTTCATGTCTGTATGGCTTCTGCTGAAGTATATGATAAAAAGAACATAACATGTCATTTTTCATATCAGACCCCTTATCAGCCCATGGTCAAAATCAGGACCTAGGGCTGATAAGGGGTCTGATATGAAAAATGCCATGTTATAATCTATATTTATTGGAAAAATCCATCTGCATACAAACTTATCCAGTTGTTATCTGTCAGAAATATTAAAGAATTAAATAACTTACATATATTTTTTAAATCTGCAGAAAAACTTAGAATTTAATTGCATTATATAGTATATTTGTTCTTATATATTTTGTTTATTAAACTATAACATTCTCCGATCGTATTTCGTAATTTGTATAAGGTATTATATTTTATTTCATGTACATCTTTATATTTATGTATTGTGTAACACGAATATTTTGTAAAAATTCTTATTATTGGTGCATATAAGATTATTATCATTATGTGTATGTATCCTGTAAGCTGTATTGCTTATGGAATAAAGTATAAGAAGTAACTTTTTTCTCAAGTTTCAAGGGCTAAAAAGGGGGTGCGTACTATGCATGACCGCATTTTATACACACTTGAGATGGTAACTTATGATTTTAAAAAAAATGTTTTGAAAATTTTTATGAAAGTTGTCGATTCTCTTTATTATTTCACTAAGATAACAAATTGTTAATGGTTATATTTACAGAAAGTGGTGATGCATACCAAGACAACAGAATGTTTATCATTTCCATATATCTTCATGAATTTTGTGGTTGCATTAGAATGGGTGATATATGGACGTATATTAAATGATATTTATGTGCAGGTAAGGGCACTTTTGGAATTACCAATAATACTGCTACACATATTCTTGAATTATTGATTACTGGTATGGGATGGCCGTATTAAGTCTTTGTATTCTCTGCACTTTTTAATTTTTTACGCCCCACCTATGATAGTATGTTTCTCGGTCTGTGCATCTGTTCGTTCATCCGTCCATCTGTCCTGCTTCAGGTTAAAGTTTTTGGTCGCTTCAGGTTAAAGTTTTTGGTCAAGGTAGTTTTTGATGAAATTGGAAGTCCAACCAACTTGAAACTAAGTTCACATGTTCCCTATGATATGATCTTTCTAATTTTAATGCCAAATTAGAGTTTTGAACCCAAATTTCATGGTCCACTGAACATAGAAAATGATAGTGCAAGTGGACTGTGGGGCATCCGTATACTATGGACACATTCTTGTTTCTTTAAATTTACAATTTAATATGTTTAAACTTAACTTGTAGATGGAATAAAGTTTATTCCTTCTACAAGTTTAGTTTAAACATATATTTTATTGTCCAAAAACAATGACAAAAGTTTTTAAACTTAGAAAGTTTTTCAACAAGAAACCATTTTAAAACAAACAAAAAGAAGACTCAGCATCACACATTGCTTGAATAAATATATCTACAATGTTTTATTGGATTATCCTTTATGCCAATGTAGACATATTTTAATGATTCATTAATAGAGAGCATCAACATGGGGGGAAAACATGAACTTATTGTCATTATTGGAACTCAAAAGAATTTTTTAACCCTCATTGAGGGTGATGTTCCCTTTGTGGAAACATTTTAAAGAGAAGGTTTCTCACAGCACATATTGTGTGTTGTTTTTCTTTGATATTTTTATCTTTCCATTTTAAATCTAACATATTTGGTTTCATGAGTAATTAAATCAGTTAACATGTCAAATAGTTAAGACACTCTGTATAGCTATATTGTGTAAGCAAACAGTGTTTTAACTGTCAGAATGGATTCAAGTAATAGGAAATAATTTGAAGCAAACAAAATACTAATTTATGCTAAAAGATTATTTTGATTTACAAAACAAGATCAAATTATAACTCATTGATAATGTGAATTTTGATGATTTGAATTATGATATATATGTTCTATTTATTGTTTTCCCAATCATTTAAAAAATTTAAGATTACAGCCATTTTCCAAATGCTTGTTTTACCTTGACCTCATAGACTTTCAACATTTATTTCTGTCATTTATAATCAATATTATTCTGCTATATTCTGTCTAAAAAAGGGGGAGATGATACCAAAATAAAAAAAACCAAAGCAAAACAGACAAACAGCAGTCCATGAAAAACTACTCTCAGAACTTTATGAAATTAGCAACACAAACCCTGTGAAAAGTCCTGGATTAAGTCAGTTTTAAATTATTTTAATAACTTCCAAATACTTGAAATTGTAAATATGTTTCATATGTTAATCTTATCATGTATGCAGAATATATGTTCATTTTTGATACAGATACATTTTTTTTATTTTTCAGCTGCCAAATTTTTTAGGTTTTTGTTTAGCAGTGATACAGCTTGCATTATTTTGTAAATATCCATCAAAGAGTACATCATTAGACAGGACAATTACAGTGACAGCATAGTTATTGTTTACAGTGAAGTCATTTTGTATTGTAACATAGACATGTTTACAGTGAAATCATTTTGTATTGTAACATAGACATGTTTACAGTGAAATCATTTTGTATTGTAACATAGACATGTTTACAGTGAAATCATTTTGTATTGTAACATAGACATGTTTACAGTGAAATCATTTTGTATTGTAACATAGACATGTTTACAGTGAAATCATTTTGTATTGTAACAGAGACATGTTTACAGTGAAATCATTTTGTATTGTAACATAGACATGTTTTATAATATAAACTTGCTTTAGGTAGTATGGGAGTATAAAAGAAAACTGTTGAATTTCTTTATTCTATGCAATAATGAAGTTAATATCGTGATAAATAAAAAGTAAAATGAAAAATATTATATTATTAAGCTTGTTTTAAAGCTAGAGGTCTTGCAAAATTTTCATAATAGGAAGGATTATATATCGTGAACAACACAATTACTAGAGGAAAAAAAATAATCTTAAAATAAATATTTTGAAATAAAGTATACGTAGGAAAGAGATTTTACTACAAGCTTATGAAAATTTAAAGAAATAAAAAAGGAGGTTACTATACTAGTTCTCTAGCTACATAACAAAATTGGTAAATTTACAGCAATATCATATAATTTAATTATCTGGATTAATTCCCTTCAAAGTTCAAATTCTCTATATCTTTAGCTCTTCTGACCCAAAGGGCCAAGTGAACTTTTCTCATCACTTGGTGTTCGTCATCGTTGTCTGTTAATTTTGAGAAAAATCTCCTCTGAAACAATTGATCCAAATTTAACCATCTAGTTTTAAAAATGTGTCTGATTTCCCTGTGCGCCAAAAAACATGGCAGACATGGCTAAAAATTAGAACATAGGGATAAATTGCAATTTTTTTCTATTATCTTGAAAATCACTATAAATAGAGAAATTTGAGGGCACAAATGTTCAAAATGTTGAGATCTACCTACTGTTCATTCTTGTATGATGAATTTTATCGTTTTTTTTTTCATTTTTGCCTATAATCATGAAAACTATAAAAGATATACAGAAACTTTATATAGCAAAAGTTATCAGCAAGTCAAGATCTACAAATAAGACAACATGGCAGAAATCATCAGACAACTCATTGGAATTATTGCCCTTTAATGACATTGTTTGTAGTTTTGCCTAATATCATACTATAGTAGATACATGACACTTTAAATTGCAAAATTGATCAGCAAGACAAGATCTACAAATATCAACATGACCTAAATTGTCAGTTAATTCCTTATTGGAGTTCTTGCTTTTAAAATGCAAAATATGGCAATTTTTAATATATTTGTCTGTAATGGTGAAACCATGATATATAGACTCTGTAAGTATAAAAAATGATCAGCAAGGTAAGGTCTACAAATGACTCAAAATCATTAGTTGACCCATTATAGGGGTGATTGCCCCTAAATGACAATTTATTTACCCTTTTTTATGTGTTTTGGGCTAAAAATATAGAGAGAAACTGTAAATAAAAAAAAATGATCACCAATAAAAGATCAACGAAAAAGAGATTTTTGTCATGAATGCTTTTCTAGTCTACAATGTTGGAGAGAGTCCATTGTTGAAGATGCACATAGACCTAGGTGAGCCACACAGGCTTTTTAGAGTCTCTAGTTGATGGGTAAAAGATTTTCTGTTCATGAAAAAGGTTTTGTATAAAATATAAAGATATAAATGTTTTCATTCCAAAGAATAATCATAAAAATTATTTGTATTTCTCTTTAAGAATGGTAAATTCAGTATAAATTTATACCAATTCTTTCAGGTTTAAGTTGAATCATTTGAGGTATAGATGGTGAAAATCTATACCAATCTTTTTAGGTTGAATTTAGAAAAGATCTTTACCAATCCTTTGAGACTCAAGATTGTAAAAATTTATTCCAACCTGTGAGATTCAAGATAGTAAAAATGTATACAAACCTATGTGGTTGAGGATGGTTAAATTCTATACCAATACTTTGAGGTCCAAGGTGATAAAAATCTATTACCAATCCTTTGAGAATAAAGATGGTAAAATCTATACCAATCTTTTGAGGTTCAAGATGGTGAAAGTTTACACCAATTATTTGAGAATGAAGATTTGGAAAGTCTATACCAATCCTTTGAAGTTCAAGGTGGTAAAAATCTATACCAACCCTTTGAGTTTCAAGATGGTAAAAATCTATAACAATCTTTTGAGGTTCAAGATGATCAAAATCTATACCAATCCTTTTTTGAGATGGTAAAAACCTATCCCAACCCTAAGGATCAAAGATAGAAGTTACAGTTTTTACTTATACTCCTGCATTACCTTAAGAAGAGATCTTGCCAAAATTAGTTCACACTGTGAATCCTTATCATAACACTTTCATATATTACTTCTTTTTTACAATAATTTAATTTAGAGAATCAATGTTTTTATCATTTTGTCTCAATTTCCACATGTGTAGCATCACTACTAGATATAGGTACTCCAGAATTGGTGAAAAGCAAAAAGTATCTATTCCTTGTACAGTAAAACACTATTTGCCATTCAATTTATCCTCTTTATTTACATGAATTTCTTGTGGAAACAATAGTATATTTCGGAAAACAGTGTTGTTCAAGCTTAAATATGATATAACTTTGTTCTGTGGATTGTTTTAAGTTGATGATAAGACACGTAAGACAGTGAAATAGAACTATTTTTGTATAGCTTTTCTTTTTCAATGTTTATATTTACATCGCAAATAGGCCAAAAGTAGAGATTTTTCTGAAATTTTACACAATCTTCCTGATTTCAACCAAATATAGGCCTAGGAAACATAGAGTGCAGGCATCGACAAACTAAATATTCAAGTCAGATATGTAAAATGTTATAACAAATTTTATATTAAAAAATCTTGTTTGTTGACCCCTGAGCTCTATGTTTCCTGTCCAAAAAGCCAATGGAAATTTACCAGTTTTCATTGAATTTTAGTGGAAATCAAAATGAGTGCTATTAGTGACGTCATGAAAAAAGTTTGTATATTATCAACAAAAAGACATATTTCCTATCTAGTCATTGTATTAGCTATGATTCATTGTGATATTGGTAATATAATCCTTATTTGAAATTAAAGCTAGAAAAAGGGGCCATGAATTTAAAAAATCAGTGCTAATTGATGATTTTATTGGTAGCTATTCTCTTTGAAATTTAAGTGATATTAAGTTCTCTGTAGCAGTCTTGTTTCTTAGGTTAATCCGAAGAAACTGTTCTTTAATTTTTATTCCTTTTCTAATTTTTGGTGTTTTTTTTATTTTTCATAAGAGTTTTGGTCTGACAATATGGAATTACCATAATTGACATTCTTTACTAAGAGATACTGACAGCCTGTCAGACATCATCATACATCATATGTTTTGCAACAACAAAAAACCAAATGTACACTATTCATTTAACCTTCAAATCTAACTCTTTTATATTGTTTTATTTAGTCCCCTTCCAGATATTTTCTTAATAAAGACATTGTATTTTTAAGATTGTGTAAATATTTTTGTTGTGCCATATATTTGTAAATGTTGAGGATGATTAGTTTTATAATGCCAAGTTGAAGATGAGATTTTTCTCAAAGGTCCATTGATCACCTTGTATAAATATATTAATGAATAATGCGTCTTTCACAGAAAAGCATTTATAAGTGCAGAAACATAATGTATTTTTTTAATCATAACAATCTGTTTTTATTAAAGGCACAATACAAGTAAAGGGATGATGTAGAAATACCTACAAACTTAACCCGTTTTGGTTATAAAACTCCAAGCAGATATAACTGAGCTGTAGGAATACTGATTGAAATAATTTGGGGAAATTTTTATTTTATTTATGCATTTTTGTCTTGCCTTGTTGGCTGCGGCATCAACAATTTGTAATTAATTGTGATTAGGTCAGTTTAAGGGTAACCGCTTATGGTAAATATATAACAATTGGTATGCAGTTATATAAGCATTTGCCCATTCATTTCCATGCAGATTATTAAGCCCATCTCACTCAATCATGGTGTTCATTTTTAATTTCAACATTTGCATTTTGCTATCAAAATACATACAGGTGAGACATCTCTGTGTCAACAGTTTATTCCTTTCAATTCCTCACTATTTCCCTACCTCTGTCTCTAAATCAAATTTCATATAGCTTTGATTGTAATTTAGAATTGGTTATAAGAGCCTAAAGGGACTGCGACCTGAAATAGTAACTTATTTTTTACTTTAACTCAGATATTTATGTGTTTTTCCATAGAATTCATACTTTTAAAAATTTTGTTTTGAACAGTTTGGATTTAGCTCTTACTGTTCTTAGATGTAGTGTTGTGTCATGGTATTAATGTTTTCTCCTCGGTCTTTTAGTAAAATGTACTAAGTATTCATGTAAGATGTAATAAACTTCTTTCTTTTTTTTGCTTCGATATCTTCTTCCCCAATTGTGGCAAAGATTTTTTTACTCAGATTGATGATATTCCTGCTTTTTATTGAAGACTTGTTTATAATTTGTAGTTATTATCAAATAATTGTTTCCAATTCTAGTCAGGAAGAGTTCTTCTAGTTATACGACCGCAAAAAAAATTTTGTGGTCGTATATTGGTATGACGTTGGCGTCGTCGTCGTCCGGCGTCGTCGTCGTCGTCGTCGTCCGAAGACACATTGGTTTTCGCACTCTAACTTTAGTTTAAGTGAATGGATCTTTATGAAATTTTACCACAAGGTTCAATACCACAAAAGGAAGGTTGGGATTGATTTTGGGGGTTATGGTAATAACAGTAAAGGAATAAGGGGCCAAAAAGGGGCCAAAAATAAGCATTTTTGTAACTTCCAGACATAACTTGTGTGTTAGTGTATGGATCTCTCTGACATTGTACCACAAGGTTCCATATCACTAAAGGAATGCTGGGATTGATTTTGGGGGTAATTGCCTCCAAATTTTAGGAATTAGGGGCCAAAAAAGGGGCAAAAAACAAGCATTTTTCTAGTTTCATGACAATAACTTGTGTGTAAGTGTATGGATCTTTCTGAAATTGAACTACAAGGTTCCATATCACAAAGGGAAAGCTGGGTTTGAGTTTGGGGGTAATTGCCCTAAATGTTAAGGAATTTGGGGCCAAAAAGGGGCCAAAAACACATTTTTTTCTAGTTTCCAGACAATAACTTGTGTTCAAGTGTATGGATCTCTCTGAAATTGTACTGCAAGGTACCATACCACAAAGGGAAGGCTGGGATTGAGTTTGGGGGTGATGAATCATAATGGGGGTTCATAAAATTTTTGGGGGGGATTTATTTTTTTTTCCTTTTTTTTATTTTTTCCTTTTTTGTTTCTTTTAAAATTTTCCATTTTAAGTTAGTTATTTCTGATTTATATTTAAAATCAAATAATAATGATATGGTAGGAGATACACACCAAACAGGATGTGTAAATTATTATATAATAAGTATTGTGCAATAGCAAGAAATTTTCAATTGCACAGTATTGCACAATAGCAAGAAATCTTCAATTGCACAGTATTGCGCAATAGCAAGAAATCTTCAATTGCACAGTATTGCGCAATAGCAAGAAATATCCAATAGCACAATATTGCGCAATAGCAAGAAATTGTCAATTGTACAGTATTGCGCAATAGCAAGAAATATTTAATAGCACAGGATTGTGCAAAAGAAGATACTTCCTATAAATTGCTTATTTCTTGACCAATTTCAATGGGGTTTTATTCTTGATTTCATGGGGTTCTTTAATATGCTGAATCTAACCGTGTATTTAGTTTTTATACGACCGCAAAAAAATTTTGTGGTCGTATATTGGTATGACGTTGGCGTCGTCGTCGTCGTCGTCCGGCGTCGTCGTCCGAATACATATTGGTTTTCGCACTCTAACTTTAGTTTAAGTGAATGGATCTTTTTGAAATTTGACCATAAGGTTAAATACCACAAAAGGAAGGTTGGGATTGATTTTGGGGGTTATGGTACCAACAGTTAAGGAATTAGGGGCCAAAAAGGGGCCAAAAATGAGCATTTTCTAGTTTCCAGACAATAACTGTGGAACGGTGTATGGATCTCTCTGAAATTATACTACAAGTTTCCATACCACAAAGGGATGGTTAGGATTTGCTTTGGGGGGTTATGGCTCAAACCGTTTAGGAATTAGGGGCAAAAAAGGGGGAAAAACAAGGTTGTCCTGGTTAATGGACAAATACTTTAGTACAAAACATAATTTAAAGCAGTGTAAGGGAGATAAATCAAATACATCATTGAAATTATCTCCCTTACACTGCTTTTAAATTATGTATAAAGTAATGGTTAATGAACAATAAAGATAATCTAAAACAGTGTAAGGGAGGTAATCCAAATACAACGTTTTGGTTACTTCCCTTACACTGCTTTTAAATTATGTTTAAAGAAATGCATATTTATAAAGGAAGACCAGTAAAAATATCTGCAAATATTTTCATCTTTTTTTTTACAAAAAAATCCATATGAAAGATTTGACACTATATTTTTATTAATTCTATTATAAAATAGATTAAGTTAGCACTATGGTAAATTTAAATGGGTAATTATGGTTGCCAACTCCATTGGAAATTTGAATTGAGATTATGACCATATCTTGAGGGAAAGAATTTTTTTGGGGGAAAAAGGGGGGGGGGGGATAAAAAGAAATTGTGGGGGGCCAATTTTTTCTCATTTCAGATTTCAGAAATTAAAAAGAATTATTCTTCAAATATTATTTTTTTTCAAATTTCAAATATTGAAAAATTTCAAGAAGTAATCTTTAATTGCACAGTATGGCGCATTAGATTTGTAAAATTTTTGATCACATTTATTTATTTGTTATGCCGAATCTAACAATGTATTTAGATTTTTAATTTTGGGTCCAGTTTTCAAATTGGTCTACATTAATGTCCAAAGGGTCCAAAATTAAACTTTGTTTGATTTTAGCAAAAATTGAATATATGAGGTTCTTTGATATGCTGAATCTAAACATGTATTTAGATTTTTGATTTTTGGCCCAGTTTTCAAGTTGGTCCAAATTGGGGTCCAAAATTAAACTTTGTTTGATTTCAACAAAAATTGAATATATGGGGTTCTTTGATATGCTGAATCTAACCATGTATTTAGATTTTTTATTTGTGGACCCCGTTATCTAATTGGTTCATATTGAGGTCAAAAGGGTCCAAAATTAAACTTTGTTTGATTTCATCTATAATTGAATTATTGGGGTTCTTTGATATTCCAAATCTAACTGTGTATTTTTGATTTTTGGCCCAGTTTTCAAGTTGGTCCAAATTGGGATCCAAAATTAAACTTTGTTTGATTTCAACAAAAATTGAATATATGGGGTTCTTTGATATGCTGAATCTAACCATGTATTTAGATTTTTTATTTGTGGACCCCGCTATCAAATTGGTTCATATTGAGGTCAAAAGGGTCCAAAATTAAACTTCGTTTGATTTCATCAAAAATTTAATTATTGGGGTTCTTTGATATGCCAAATCTAACCGTGTATTTAGATTTTTAATTTTGGGTCCTGTTTTTTAAATTGGTCTACATTAAGGTCCAAAGGGTCCAAAATTAAACTTAGTTTGATTTTAACAAAAATTGAATTCTTGGGGTTCTTTGATATGCTGAATCTAAACATGTGTTTAGATTTTTGATTCTGGTCCCAGTTTTCAAGTTAGTCCAAGTTGGGGTCCAAAATTAAACTTTCTTTGATTTCAACAAAAATTGAATATTATGGGGTTCTTTGATCATGATATGCTGAATCTAAACATGTATTTTGATTTTAGATTTTTGGCCCAGTTTTCAAGTTGGTCCAAATTGGGGTCCAAAATTAAACTTTGTTGGATTTCAACAAAAATTGAATATATGGGGTTCTTTGATATGCTGAATCTAACATGTGTTTAGATTTTTGAGTATGGGCCCAGTTTTCAAGTTGGTCCAAGTTGGGGTCCGAAATTAAACTTCTTTTGATTTCAACAAAAATTGAATATATGGGGTTCTTTGATATGCTGAATCTAACCATGTATTTAGATTTTTTATTTGTGGGCCCTGCTAACAAATTGGTTCATATTGAGGTCAAAAGGGTCCAAAATTAAACTTTGTTTGATTTCATCAAAAATTGAATTATTGGGGTTCATTGATATTCCAAATCTAACCGTGTATTTAGATTTTTAATTTTGGGTCCCATTTTTTAAATTGGTCTACATTAAGGTCCAAAGGGTCAAAATTAAACTTAGTTTGATTTTAACAAAAATTGAATTCTTGGGGTTCTTTGATATGCTGAATCTAAACATGTGTTTAGATTTTTGATTATGGGCCCAGTTTTCAAGTTTGTCCAAATTGGGGTCCAAAATTAAACTTTGTTTGATTTTAACAAAAATTGATTATATGGGGTTCTTTGATATGCTGAATATAACCATGTATTTTGATTTTGGACATTGAACTTATAATAGGTAAATTAAAAAAATTCAAGTTCTTAGACCACATTCTTTCTGTGTCAGAAACCTATGCTGTGTCAAATATTTAATCACAATCCAAATTCAGAGCTGTATCAATCTTGAATGTTGTGTCCATACTTGCCCCAACTGTTCAGGGTTCGACCTCTGCGGTCGTATCAAGCTGCGCCCAGCGAATCATTTTATTTTTATTTATACAAAGGTAGTGCCTATTTCCTCTGTTTCACTCATGGCCTCACATTTAGAACGTTGTTAAAAACCTATACAATGTATATTATTATTACAGGGTCTTTATAATATACTTAAAAAATCACCAATTTTATAGCACACTTCAATAAAATCAAAATGTTATTCAGGATTACATATTGCTGTTGATGACAACATTGCAAATTTTACATATTTTTGTAAAATATTGCTTCAAAGGACATCTTTAGCCAAAATGAATTGTGTCAGAAAGACATAACAGTAATTGCTTCATAAAGAATTTTAAGAAAGTCTTTTTATACATTTCCTGGGTACTAACTTAGATTTTGTGCCAAAATTTGTAAAAAAAATTGCAGTTTTGAACCAGCTTTAGGCATTTATGATTTTCAAAATACACTAAAATGTTGAAACATGAATCTATGAGTTCAGAATTAAAGTAACGATTGAATCACTTTTTATACGACCGCAAAAAATTTTTATGGTCGTATATTGGTATGACATTGGCGTCGTGGTCGTAGTCGTCCGAAGACACATTGGTTTTCGCGCTCTAACTTTAGTTTAAGTGAATGGATCTCTATGAAATTTTACCATAAGGTTCAATACCACAAAAGGAAGGTTGGGATCGATTTTGGGGGTTATGGTACCAACAGTTAAGGAATTAGGGGCCAAAAAGGGGCCAAAAATAAGCATTTTTGTAACTTCCAGACATAACTTGTGTGTTAGTGTATGGATCTCTCTGACATTGTACCACATGGTTCCATATCACAAAGGGAATGCTGGGATTGATTTTGGGGGTAATTGTCTAAAAATTTTAGGAATTAGGGGCAAAAAAAGGGGCAAAAAACAAGCATTTTTCTAGTTTCATGACAATAACTTGTGTGTAAGTGTATGGATCTTTCTGAAATTGTACGACAAGGTTCTATATCACAAAGGGAAAGCTGGAATTGAGTTTAGGGGTAATTGCCCTAAACGTTTAGGAATAAGGGGTCAAAAAGGGGCCAAAAATAAGCATTTTTCTAGTTTCCAGACAATAACTTGTGTTCAAGTGTATGGATCTCTCTGAAATTGTACTGCATGGTACCATACCACAAAGTGAAGGCTGGGATTGATTTTTGGGGAAATGCCTCAAAATTTTAGGAATGGGGGGCCAAAAAGGGGCAAAAAACAAGCATTTTTCTAGTTTCAGGACAATAACTTGTGTGTAAGTGTATGGATCTTTCTGAAATTGTACTACAAGGTTCCATATCACAAAGGGAAAGCTGGGTTTGAGTTTGGGGGTAATTGCCCTAAACGTTTAGGAATTTGGGGCCAAAAAGGGGCCAAAAAACAAGCATTTTTCTAGTTTCCAGACAATAACTTGTGTTCAAGTGTATGGATCTCTCTGAAATTGTACTGCAAAGTACCATACCACAAAGGGAAGGCTGGGATTGAGTTTGAGGGTGATGAATCATTAGGGGGTTCAAAAAATTTGGGAGGAGGGATTTTGTTTTCCTTTTTTTCCATTTTTTTTCTTTAAAATTTTCCATTTTAAATTGGTTATTTCTGATTTATATATAAAAGCAAATAATAATGATATGGTTTGAATAGGTAAGTTTAAAATTTATAAGTTCTTAGACCACATTCATTCTGTGTCAGAAATCTATGCTGTGTCAAATATTTAATCACAATCAAAAGTCCGTATGTATCAAGCTTGAATGTTGTGTCCATACTGGCCCCAACTGTCAGGGTTCGACCCCTGCGGTCGTATCAAGCTGCGCCCAGCGGAGCATTTTATTTAAAATGGCCCTGGTTAACTTTAGACATCAATACACTTACAGAATTTTAACCATTGTTATGTTAAGTTTATATTTGTGAGATATTAACTAATAATTAAACTTGTTTATATAAGCACAATCTAACCTATTTAAATAAAATTATTTTTTATATATGCAGGCTTTTTTTTTACTACTGAAAGTATAATGGTTTAATACGTCAAGTATACATGGTATTGTCATAAAATTTGCTAACAGGTGATCCATTTAGCTAGTTTTGGATAATTTTGTAGACTTGGTTCTGATATAATATCTAGTTGACAAATGATTCATTAAGATAATGGTTAGATTAATGATGTGAACTTTGTATTTTGTCATATACTAAGATTACAGAATATTCTTTAAAATCATATTTTCGGTCATGATGATGACTTAGTATTAGCATAAAACTTTCTAAACATTATTCACTAAGAAAAAAAATAAATTATGATGTAGTCATGGTTCTGTAATAAAATTCTTGACAGATGATCCATTCAGGTTATGGTCAGGCATGATGTAGACATTGTGTAGCCATAAAACATTGTTTACCATAGATTTATTGAAATATTGTGGTTTTGATAATGATGTTTACATGGTATTGTCATAATTTTTATGCCCCCGCCATAGCGGTGGGGGCAGTAAGTTTTACCCTTGTACGTACGTACGTACGTCCATACATCCCAAAATTGGTTTCCGTTCTCTAACTTGAGTTTGCCTCAACCAAATGTTATGTAACTCATACACAATGCTTATTACCACAACACACATATCAACTTTGAATTTTTTTGGCGTCACTTTAACCGTTCTAGAGTTATGCCCCTTTATAAATGGAAAAATTGCAAAATTTTTAGTTTCCATTCTCTAACTAAAGTTTGCCTCAACCAAATGTTATGAAACTTATGCACAATGCTTATTACCACAAAACACAGATCAAGTTTGAATTTTTTTGGTGGTGTCACTTTAACCGTTCTAGAGTTATGCCCCTTTATAAATGGAAAAATTGCAAAATTTTTATTTTCTTCTAAATATCTAGTAATTTTTAAAATTGGAGTTATCATCCTTTTTCCATGATTATAGTTGAATCAACTACAATCAATGCTTTATACAATGCAATGTTTAATTTTGACTTCCACTGATATAACACAGATCAAGTTGAATTTGGGTAGTGTCACTTTAACCATTATTGAGTTATGCCCCTTTATAAATCGAAAGATTGCAAAATTTTTAGTTTCCATTCTGTAACTTATGTTTGCCCCAACCAAACATGAAACCTATACACAATATTCATTACCACAAAACTAAGATCAAGAACAATTGTTTTGTTCCCGTTTTGTAACTTTAGTTTGCCTCAACCAAATGTTATGAAACTTATACACAATGCTTATTACTACATAATACAGATTAAGTACGAAATTTGGTGAGAACAATTTTACCATTTTTGAGTTATGTCCCTTTATAAACATAAAAATTGCTGAATTTTTCGTTTCCGTTCTCTAACTTTAGTTTGTCTCAACCAAATGTTATAAAACTTATACACAACCTTTCTAGAGTTATGCGTGTTTACAAATAGAAAAATTGCTGAATTTTTATACGACCACAAAAATTAAAAATTTTTTGGTCGTATATTGGTATGACGTTGGCGTCGTCGTTGTCGTCGTCGTCCAGCGTCGTCCAAAGACACATTGGTTTTCGCACTCTAACTTTAGTTTAAGTGAATGGATCTCTATGAAATTTTACCATAAGGTTCAATACCACGAATGGAAGGTTGGGATTGATTTTGGGGGTTATGGTACCAACAGTTAAGGAATTAAGGGCCAAAAAGGGGCCAAAAATAAGCATTTTTGTAACTTTCAGACAATAACTTGTGTGTAAGTGTATGGATCTCTCTGACATTGTACCACAAGGTTCCATATCACAAAGGGAAGGCTGTAATTGATTTTGGGGGTAATTGCCTCAAAATTTTAGGAATTAGGGGCCAAAAAAGGGGCAAAAAACAAGCATTTTTCTAGTTTCATGACAATAACTTGTGTGTAAGTGTTTGGATATTTCTGAAATTGTACTACAAGGTTTCATATCACAAAGGGAAAGCTGGAATTGAGTTCGGGGGTAATTGCCTGAAACGTTTAGGAATTGGGGGCCAAAAAGGGGCCAAAAATAAGCATTTTTCTAGTTTCAAGACAATAACTTGTGTTCAAGTGTATGGATCTCTCTGAAATTGTACTGCAAGGTACCATACCACAAAGGGAAGGCTGGGATTGAGTTTGGGGGTAATGAATCATAAGGGGGTTCAAAAAATTTGGGGGGGGGATTTTTTTTTTTTCTTTTTTTTTCTTTTTTTCTTTTTTATTTTCTTTTAAAATTTTCCATTTTAAGTTGGTTATTTCTGATTTATATTTAAAAGCAAATAATAATGATATGGTAGGAGATACACACCAAACAGGATGTGTAAATTTTTATATAATAAGTATTGTGCAATAGCAAGAAATTTTCAATTGCACAGTATTACACAATAGCAAGAAATCTTCAATTGCACAGTATTGCGCAATAGCAAGAAATCTTCAATTGTACAGTATTGCGCAAAAGCAAGAAATATCCAATAGCACAATATTGCGCAATAGCAAGAAATTGTCAATTGTACAGTATTGCGCAATAGCAAAAAATATTCAATTGCACAGTATTGTGCAAAAGAAGATACTTCTTATAAATTGCTTATTTCTTGATCAATTTCAATGGGGTTTTATTCTTGAATTCTTGGGGTTCTTTAATATGCTGAATATAACCGTGTATTAAGTTTTTGGATTTTGGGCCCCGTTTTTAAATTGGTCCACAGGGTCCAAAATTTAACTTTGTTTGATTTCATCAAAAATTGAATTATTGGGGTTCTTTGATATGCCGAATCTAACCGTGTATTTAGATTCTTAATTTTTGGTTCCGTTTTCAAATTGGTCTACATTAAGGTCCAAAGGGTCCAAAATTAAACTTAGTTTGATTTTAACAAAAATTGAATTTTTAGTGTTCTTTGATATGCTGAATCTAAACATGTATTTAGATTTTTGATTATGGGCCCAGTTTTCAAGTTGATCCAAATCGGGGTCCAAAATTAAACTTTGTTTGATTTCAACAAAAATTGAATATATGGGGTTCTTTGATATGCTGAATCTAACCATGTATTTAGATTTTTGGGCCCCGTTATCAACTTTGTCCACATTGAGGTCAAAAGGGTCCAAAATTAAACTTTGTTTGATTTCATCAAAAATTGAATTCTTGGGGTTCTTTGATATGCTGAATCTAACCATGTATTTAGATTTTGGATATTGGAATAATTGGACCATAATAGGTGAATGTCCAATTTAAAATTTTTAAGTTCTTAGACCACATTCATTCTGTGTCAGAAACCTATGCTGTGTCAAATATTTAATCACAATCCAAATTCAGAGCTGTATCAAGCTTGAATGTTGTGTCCATACTTGCCCCAACTGTTCAGGGTTCGACCTCTGCGGTCGTATCAAGCTGCGCCCTGCAGAGCATTTTATTAGTTTCTGTTCTCTACTTAAGTTAGCCTCAACCAAATGTTCTGAGACTTACACACAACGCTTATTACCACAAAACTCAGATCAAGTTCAAATTTGGGTAGCATCACTTTTACTGTTCTTCAGTTATGTCCCTTTATAACTATATGCTATGCAAGCAGGGGCATTATCTGTGTCCACATGTGGACACTATCCACAAAAGAGATTACCAATTCAGATAATGGTTTGAATTATGTTATAAACATGCTATTGGTCATAAAACTTGAGACAGATGATTCTATCAGATAATGGTATGAATTGTGATGAAGACATCATATTGCATCAAAACCTTCTTGACAGATTACTAGCCTTTCATTTAATGGTAGTATCATAAAAACTTTGTTTACAGATGCACCATTTAAATAAGGTTTGGATTATGATGGTTTCTTTAAAACTGTGTAGGCTGAAGACAGATAATCCTTTCAGATAATGGTGTTTGTAATGATGTAGACCATGCCTTAACTGCCATTGAGGCAAGTGAGGCAATTGCCTCACTAAAATTTGGACACTGATTTTTTTTTTGTGTATTTGTTTATGGTAATTAAATACGAAATATGGTATTTTTTTTATGACTCAACCTTAATTTGTATAACTTGACATCGTTCCTTTTAAATTATTCTTCCCAGATATATCTCAGCATCTCACTGGGTGATGTTTCTCGATTACCTGTTCACTTGTACTGCAACTCCCTCCTATGTCAAAAGAGAACCACCAATCTTATGAATCGGTGTAAAATCACTCATTCGGTTAAAAATCCTCAGAACTAGCTTAAAAGGTAAAACTCTTAAAACTATAAAAGATATATTAATCATCTCCTCTGGGGCATGTGACCCTATTACCATTATTTACACTAACTAAGTAACCGGTAATCATCATGGACCTCTGATTAAAAACAGGCTCTTGCAGAAAAAGGAAAAGCGATACTGAAGGTTAGGAAGGAATAATTCTAGTAAACTAAAGGATGTTATTTGTGATCCCAACAGGTGCTAAGAGCTCCAGCTTTCAAAATTTGAATATATTTTCATTGGAACTAATCCAAAAACTATAAATTGACCGTGACAAATCAAGCAATGGGGCATTGCACGGTAGCAGTCCTGTCTGAGTATTCAATTCCCCGTTTCCCCAACTTTATTCGTTCTCTTTAACGATAAACAAAATATAAATAATATGAAACCTGCATGGATTAGTTTTATCAGAGACATATAATACGTATTATATCCATGTTCAACGCGATAAGGATGTCAGCAGACCAAATATTCTGAAATGATTTGACGAAACCGGCCATAGAAAAATTGGCAAACTCCAATTCGAATAACAGTTGCTACTGAGTCGATGTTTGTTCTGTGTTCTGGCGGCAGACTCAAATTAATATTTGTATGTTTATCTGACATATACATTTAGATAAAGTTGTTAAAAAATTGGTGTTAGTACATGTCTTAAAATGTGAAAAATATATAAAAAGTGTCCAAAAATAAAAACTCCGGACAGCTTGTCTCAACGATGTCAAGCTCTCATGAAATCCAAGAACTACTGGTAACCCTACATATTCTTTAACATCATTTACAATG